ACCCACCTCTTCCCTTCTAGCAACCATTATTTGGCTCTTGCAGTATAAGAGTTTCCTGACAACGACTTTTATAGAAAAGACAAGAAACAAGTATTGGTAAGGATGCGGAGAAAAAGGAACACAAAATACACTGTTGGTGAGGAATGTAAATTGGTGTCATTATAGAAAACTAGTATGGAGATTTCTCCAAAAATTTAGAATAGAACTACCCTAGGATCTGGTTATCTAATAGCTGGGTATTTATCCCAAGAAAAGAAAACACCTAATTTGAAAAGATAATGTGCATCCGATGTGCACAGCAGCATTATTCATAGTTTCTCGCTTTTAATGACTAAGGACCATACACAAAAGTTCTCCTGTTCCCTTCCCATGCATATCATTTTATGCAGCCCCTGGAGTGAGTGAGCCATGCCTGGAAGACTCATGTTCAGGATGTGGAGGTCTCTAAGCACCCTTGTGTACACAGCGTTCTCTGGGAAGGGCTGTTTTGGGGAACTGTCTTTGGGGGGACTGTCCTTGGCCTTTGAGCTGAATTATCATGAATTTAGGCACGCAAGAGAAGACCAGGGGATCTGCAGATGGCAGTGCTGACCAAGTGCATGGTAACCATCCTGATGACATACTTTGCCATGTTTTTAAAAGCCTGAGTATTTTGGAATTTGGGGGAAACTCAGAGAATCTGGTGGATTCTTGGAAAAAAATAACACAGAATTTCTATTGAACTCCAGAAGGGATCAGAGATTCCTGAAGACAAGAAGTTGTTTAGAAGTGAAAAAGCCAAGTTAGATAGGGAGGCCTCTGCCTTTGCTTCATGTATTCCTCCCTGTAGCTCCCGAGAGTTTCAGTCCCTGCCAACGGCACAGAGGCAGGAAGGAGGTTGAACGCTGATTTCAAAGACACTCTGGTTTGTATCTCAGTCCCTCCCCTTGATAGGGGCAAAGGATGTCCTGAGCAAACTCCATACAGGCTTTGTGGGCCCCACCCCCACCACACTGGGAACTACAAATCCCATGATCACCAAAGGGAAGTTTGCGAGGAACTGAGGGTGGAGTTAAGCAACCAGGCTCTCTGTTTGGGTATTTAACTGGCCATGTGGCCGGGCGGGCACTGGCTTGGCTACAAGGCGTGCTAGGTTTTTGCCAGATCAGAGGGTCATTGGGAGTCCAGGTCAGCGGAAACGGGTTGGACACATTTACGAACTTGTCTCCCTCTTTTTCTCCCTGAGTTATTCATTTCCCATTTCCCCTTCCCTTGTAAATAAACCTTTCATCAACCTTTTGTGTATGTCTGCAGTTTAGCATTAATAAGTCCCCTTTAAGCACGCGGGTGGGGACCCACAGTCAGGCAACCCCATTTTATGTCGGGGTTTGCCTGTAACACCCTGAGTAGTTAATTTGAGCACGTTTCACTCTGTAAATGGGTCTGATAATCCACAGCTGGAATGTTCCCCTCCTTGTTGGCCAAAGTTCCCATGACGGCCTTTGCTGGATCCTCAGATATCTGAACTCTTTCCTGCCTCAGGACTCCATGTGCAACGACAAATGAGAACGGATGCAAGCTACAAACATCCAGCTGTCTCACTGTGAACCTTGAACATCAGCCAGAATATTGAATATTGAATATTGAATCTTGAATATTGAACCTTGAATATTCCAGCCAGAATATTCCTCTGACTGGAATATTCTCTCTATCCTCTTTGTGGGACCAGCTTACTGCTCAAAGCTTAATTTGAACATCAGCTCCTCAGGAAGATTTTCTTGTTCAATTCTTTCTGTATATTTAGAATTAAAAAAAAAAAGCATACAATTCCGTGGTTTTTAGTATATTCATAAGTTATGCAACCACCAAGACTCTAATTCTTGAACATTTTCATCACCCTAACAAGAAACCCCTTATTCACATTCATTAGCAGCACTTCCCATTTCTCCTCCCACACTCCCAGCCCCTGGCAATTGCTAATCTACTTTCTGTCGCTATGGATTTGCCTCTTCTGAACATTTCAGATAATAAAACCACACACTCTATGGCTTTTTGTGTTTGACTTCTTTTACGTTACATAATGTCTCTAAGTTTCATTCATGTTGTAGATGGCATGAGTACTGTATCTCCTTTTTATGGCTGAATAATATTCCATCCCATATAGCACATGTCTTTTATCCATTCACCAGTTGATTTGGCTTGTTTCCAATATGGTGCTCTTGGGAATAATGCTGCTATGTGCTCTGGTCTCTCTTGATTGCGTTACTCTTTAATTTATGTTTGCGGCGCTTGTGTAATAATTTAACATGTATATTTTTATCCTCTCCTGTAGAATATATATCCTGTAGAATATAGAGGCTCCCGTTCAGGAAGAATTAATGATTTTTTTCTTTCTATGGGCCTCAAATTGAAAGCAGTAGCAATTCCTCTGATTCCTTCCCTAAGTTTCAATAAGACTTTCTAGGGAAGGACGGCACGAGAAAGAGAGCTATGTTTCTTATTCATTTAAAAATTCCCCTCATTCTGAATTTTGTTAGCTTTGTGTTAACGTTGTGATCAAAATTAATTTAGACCAAAGTCAAAACCATTACTCTTTGTTTTCCTTCAACTGTATTTTACCTTCAAAGCTTGGCCAGTAGGAACATTCGGTTTACTCTTTGGATGGGCCTTGCTAATCTGCAGTAACCTTGTCTGTCTCATCCACTGTGCCTCCTTGAGTGACGGGTACTCAGGCAGCAAGTATGTGTTGAGTGAATGAGTGAATGAATGGAAGCTGCTGTCATACTCTTGTCTCTTAGACTCAATCTTCCCCTCTCACTCACAGGGGATTCTTGCCGTGTTGACCTGTGTCTCTCACCTGATACTGCTCAGCCTCCGGCTCTTGCCTCATTGTCCCATTTCCCCAGAGCTGTCACCCCCCAGCTCAGGCCTCTGTTATTCTCATAGGGTCTCAAACTCAATGAGCAGCCCTTGAGATCACAGATTGCTGAGCCCACAGCTGGGGTTGCCCTCAAGGCCAATTGACAGTGTAGGTGGATCTGAAATTTGCATTTTGTCAAGATCCCAGGTGCTGCTAGGGGACAGAGGGTCATTTGAGAATCACAATGCAGTGGGGGAATTCCAGCAGAGAGGTGGAAATGCATAGGTGAGGTGTGTGGACCTTCCCCAAACAGCTCCTCTTCCTTCAGTCACCCTACATGGGGAATCAGAGGGCATGGGTCAGTTAAGAGCATCTGGATATATCCTAAAACCTGGTAGTATCACTCGTGGGCCTGTACCCTGTAGAAATTCCCCTCGGTCCAAGAGGAAGCCTGCTTGAAGATATTTTTGCCAGTGTTGTTGACAGAGTCAGGAAGCTGGTGGCCATCTAGGTGTTATGATGAGAGATGTGGACAAGCAGGGCTGACATTCAAGGTTCAAGGTTCACAGTGAGACAGTGGGATGTTTGTAGCTTGCGTCCATTTTCATTCGTCATTGCACATGGAGAGACGGTCATTCCGTAGGTAAGAGAAACGTGGGGGCTGCATTTGTTGGAGTACTATGCAGCTGTTGCAAGTGACAAAGAGATTCCATGCAGTAACATGGTTAGCTTTGGTGAACTAAGAATGGAATAAAGTTTATGGTAAAAACACCACTTCTGTCAAAGATACTATGCACATATGCAATAATACCTACACTATCATAGATCTTTCTTTCTTTTTTTTTTTTTTTATAGAGGCATGTTCATTTATTTATTTGTTTGTTTGTTTGTTTGTTTGGTTTTTATACATGCACTGGGTACAGTCAGAAGCGCGGGAGGGTGAGAGAATTCACCGGAGCCAGAGCGGGGAGCAGAGCAGGCAGAAGGACCGAAGTACACTGCTGAGGGGAGCAGTGGGCGGCAGGAGAGGTCTGCGCGCCATGTGGGACCCTCCTCCGGTGGCCGGGGAGCAGCCGGGGATTGAACCGGCGCCGCAGAGGCTGCGGGCAGCTTTGCAACCCAGCGCTCAACCTCTGCACCAACCGGGAGGCCCTATCATAGATCTTTCAAGGACAATCACATATCTAACTAGACCCAGGGTGGTGGGTGAGGTGGGACCGTAGGTGGGTACTGTTGTCCTGTGCTGAGCTCAAGCACTGAGCTTCTCTTCTAGTTCACATTTACCTGTGAAGGTCACTGTCATGAGGTGGATTGTGTATCCCTTGGTTGATACATTGTTTTTCTAGCTCCCTTGGCCCTTAGAATGTGACTTTATTTGGAAATAAAACAGTTCCAGATGGAGTTAGTAAAGTGAGGTTGTACTGCAGGAAGGTGACTCTTAATCCACTCTGACTCGTGTCTTTACAAGAACATGCCCTTGAAGACAGGCACACACCCACAGCAGAGAGTAGAGTGATGCAGCTTCCAGCCAACAAAGCCCAAAGACTTGCAGTAATTTCCAGAAGCTAGAAAAGGCAAGGAAGGATTCTCCTATAAGGCTGTGAATACCGAACCCCTGTTCTCCCACTTACTGGCTGTGTGACCTAGAACAGCTTAATTCACCTCTCTGAACCTTTGCTTACGCATCTGCAAAGAAGTAGTTGAATTGGTTGAATCAGAGCATGTGGTGTGATTAGCGTAGCACTGGCTTATGGTAAGTAAATCAGTGCTGGCTCTTGTTGCTTACGTGGACCAGTGCTGTGCATAACGTGTTGGTGTCTCATGGTAGACTGAGCAAGGACTACATCTATGGGGTGCAGATACAAAATGCGCATTCATCGTGGAATTGTCTCAAGAGCGCCGTGAGGTAGGTAATACTGCTGTCACGCAGAGCCATTGCAAGAGCCTGTGAGCTGTGGTGCATGGAGTCCCCATGTAACTTCTTATGCAGTGATCCATCTCATCGACATGTCTTTTTCTCCCCTCCTCCCCATCCGCAACTGAAATGGTGGCTCCGCAGAGCAAGGGGTACTGTTTTCTGCCACAAGCACAATGCTCAACGCACAGTAGGTGCTAATCATTGTGTTTTGAATGAACAGATTTAAATTCTTTCTTCTTCCAGGGCCCTTGCGGATGTCATGAGGCCACAGAGCCACTGCAACACTGACCACATGGAGAGAGACCTCAACATTGTGGTCCATGTCCAGCATTATGAGAACATGGATACCCGAACCCCCATAAATAATCTTCGTAAGTATAGCCACACAGTGCATTTTCAGTCCTGTGTGGCAACCTGTGTGATGGTCTAGGAGCCAGGAATCACTGCGTGTTTGGGTTCCTTAAGAGCTTCCCTTTGTTGAAGAGTTTTGAGTTGTCTCTCCCTGTTGAACCTGGGCTCGGTGTCAGTGGCGGCCATTGGATTCTCTGGCATGGTTTCTCTCTCAAGGTGTGATTCTCTATTGGTTTCTCATGGTCGGTTCTTCTGTTAATGAATGGACCACTTGGTTGATTTCTCTTGGTTGATCTGTTAACCGATGGCCCTCTTTGTGGTTTATCATGGTTGGGTACCAATTAACCAACGGATTATTTGTCACTTCATTTTAGGTAATCTATTAGCCAATAACCAAATTTGTTGGTTCATCTTGATTGGGTAATCTGTTGACCAATTAGCTTATTTTTCTGCCTCCTGACCAGCTGTGATATTTTAGATTTTGTGACATTTTTAATGAATAGATAATAGTTTTATTGATTTAGATTGACTTTTCAAAAAAATAGAATTTCAAAATATAATCTACAAGTTCTGTGTGTGTGTGTGTGTGTGTATGTGCATGAGCGTGCACATGTGTTGAGTTGTGGCTATATTGGTTTGGGGTGTGTATGTGTGATTCAATAGTCATAAATTCTGTTCCGCTATTCTGCTATAAGGAAAAAAAATGCTGAATTTGCTATTGTGTTTCAATAGGCGTACTTTAGCTGATAGAGCACACTTGGGGATCTTGGTCTGCACCCAAAGATTTTCTTTCCTTTCAAAGGTCTGTATAGGCAACATACATTATGTAGCTGATGCACTGACTAATGGGGGTTGGCAAAAACAAGATTGCTTCGTTTTTGACAGTCGAGTACTACTGTGGTTATTCCTAGCAATTATGTTTTCAAGTAACCCCCACATTAAAGTAATGTGGAGGGCTTGGTTTGAAATAAAAAAAGCCAGACAATTTAAAGGATGCATTTAGTTGTGGCTGGAGGTTCTTGAAAACAAACAGTTCTGGCTTTGCAACGTTTACAGTCTGGGCTGCCTCTGCTGAAGCTGCGCGAGGAGTCATGGTGGTATTTTATATGCTGAATCATCATTTTGGACCATTCGACTGCTAATGTTTATGCTTGATGGGTACAGGAATAAGCCTATGAAAGTTGACATAGGTGGCCTGGGTGCTCTGATTCTGCACGACAATATGTTTTCCTGACCTTTGAAATACTGCCCTGTGTTTGCAAAGTCCATGTTGACATGGTCTGAAAAGGGGCTACTAAATAGAATGTCATAGGTTTCTTTGTATTAAATAATTTGACTTTTTTTATGAACAGGATCATAAAATGGTATGAGAAATAGCCACATTTTAGAGCAAGGTACACCAGCAATTGGAAGTTTTGTGACCAAATCTCATAGCCCTGGGAGGTAGGGAAAATTACACCAACACTGACATGGCAATTGCTATATCCAGTTCTGGCTTGGGTGCAAATGAGCACATTTTCTTCCAGATGGCACTGGGAAATAAGTTGGATCGAGATATATGTGGGCCCCAAGCATCGTAAGAGCAAGATCACGGTCATGTAGTAGAGAAAGAGCAAATGGTATTGAGTTCCTGGCTAGCGAAGGTGACTGTTAGCAAGTTTCTCATTGGAAGTTTCAATCTTTGGATGATTTTTGCATCAACACTTAAATGGACTAACATTGAAGTTCCCCAAGTTTCATCATTCCCATCAGGCAAAAGAGCAGAGAACATGAAAGCATCTTACTTTCATAAGGGTCTTTTGTTTAAAGTTGTCCTGAAAATAAATTATCACTCAGTCCAGACACCATGTAAGTTAGAAGTCTCCTTGGCAGTCTAATTTATAGTATTTATGATTCATGTTTTTAATCATATTTGTGTCTCAGGAATCAGTGACCTTTTATGTCCAGGAAAAATGTGTCTTGGAAAATTCTAGTGGGTGGAATCACACCTGAACATTCCTGGTAAACTCCTTGGAGAATTTCTGATGTTATGTTACAGATACTGAATTCTTTCATCAAGTACCAAGGATATTCATTTCATATAACCCTGTTAGGTTGATCCAATCCTTATTTTCTACCATTCTTTAGAATATCTAGAAAGTAAGAAGCAGGAACCTGTTAGATTGACATGAATAAATTTACACAAATAAATTCCATAATGGATATTAATCATAGGTTTCCTTGGAATGGCTTATCTGTCTTTTCATTGATTTGCAGGAGCTATTTATATATTATAGACACAGGTAAAACTTCATGTTTAGAGGAAGGAGTGACTTGTGACTTCATTGAGAAGATAGGACTAGATGACTGATATTAATCAATTTCTAGAGGTGCAAGAAGACAAGCAGTAGCAGCCAGCACTAGAATGTCCCTGTTGTATAGAAAACCCTTCTGTGGCCGCTATGGAAGCTCCAGAGGTTCACCACTGCAAAGGATGGAAAGAAAGAGTAGGAATATATCATGCTCTTTTTGGGGTGCTCTTCACTACACATTCAAGACTTGACTGGAAATTCAGCAGCCCCAACTTGAATGTCATTTTCATCTCTATTCAATGATGCACCCGACATCTCTTGAAGAGCAGAATCATCTTCATCTATTTCTTTTTCCTTCTCTTCTTACTACTAGTTCTAGATCACCTTCTGTCATGCTTTGGTCAGATGCTGAGAAACAAAGGTCACTGTAGAAATCTGGGTGTTTGGAAGGGTGGGGAGTGGAGCCGGAGGAAGGTAAAGCCAGAGAGGGAGGAGGAAACTTTGATACAGGGAGTGTTTTTGCTGACCTTTCATTATAAATTTCATGCTGTTGATTTTCCTGTGATGTGCTGGACTTGCCTTTTCATCTGAACAGGGTTTTTTGTTTCTGGCTGAGGTTGTCCATGTTCTTTCCAGGCATTCAGTGATATTGCCTAAAAATATTTAGTCTGATAATCAGAAGGGCCTCGACCTCTTTGATTAACAGGATGTAGATTCGGATGAGATAGTGATTTTCTACAAACGCTCCTCGGCTCCTGCATAATTATCGTTTGCTTTTGAAGGCACAATTTGTCTTCAAGTGCTGTGAATGTGCACTGTCTCCCCCAGCCTCCCTGCTTGCAATTGATACCTCCACCCTTTTGGAAAGTTCAGGGTAAATACAGGTTCCATTTAGTCTCAGGATGGGATGTCACTGAGGAATAAAACCTGGACCAAAATTCCCCAAATTCATGTTAACAGCACACTTTTTTTTGGAAATGCAGTTTTAATTTTCGAATAATTTTATATTTACTGAAAAGTTGCAAAGATAGTGCACAGAGTTCTGTATACGCCTCACCCACTTTCCCCTCATGCTAACATCTTACATTACTATGCTCCACCTGTCAAAACTAAGAACTCAACATTAGTACATTATTTTTAGCTAAACTGTAGATACGGTTTGAATTGCGCTGGTTTCTTCACTCACATCCTTTTTCTGTTCCAGGATCCAATCCAGGAAGCGACATTGTTTTTAGCACAGCAAACTTGGGAGCAGAATTTTGCTTGTGCAATATTGTTTAATGGCGTGGTAAAGACTGAAAGCAACACTAAATAAGTCAATAGCAATTATGAAGCTTTTATTGTCACAGTAGGAGCACTCCTTCCCAGTGTCTATAAAAATGTCCACATAAAATGACTCACCCGGTCACTGTTGGGATCGAACTAGTGGCCATCCCGTCATGCCTATGAGCAAAGTACCTTTATGATCCATACAGACATATCCTCTTTGGAACTGGGCTGATGTGACACAATTTATTGTAGAGTTTACTCTGAGCAAGTGACATCTCGTCCAGAACTGATAATGTCTCAGGACACAGAATCCATCAGAAGAACCAGTTTCCTATTCTGTCCTCATCCTACCCCTCCACCTCTGGGGCTTTTCCCAAGTGGCACAGACCCAGATGAAAGGCAGAGCCCTAGCTTAGTTTCTGAAAAGGTTCTACAACTTATACTTGGGCCAAATGGATTTTCATTCATGTGTCCATATTTCCCGAGGTACCGGAGGACCACTCTGCTCACCACTAAGCCACCAGCGCTTGCCAAGACAGATGGGACAGCCTGCATTTGACCTTTGTTGAAGATACTGGTAGAGATATTTCCAAATATTTTAAAAAAATTGAAGAGGGAGGGGATTTCCTAACCATGGCAGGCTAGAAAGTAAATATAGATATTAGTATTTAAGAATAAGAAATATTTGTAAGATAGTGGAATATTAAGGGCACTGTATAGACAACATGCTAACCTGCCCACCTCCCTGCACCCTCGCCCCGCCACAACACACTGAATCCTCAAAACCTTATTATTGTTTTCACCATCATGAGGATGGGGAACCTGGGGCTCAGAGAGGCCAAGTGGCTTGTCTGAAATCATACAGCTGCTAAATGTTGGCCTTGGGATGTCAGCTGGGCCAGGCAGACCCCAAGGTCTGTGATTTCACCCACACTGCCATGTGGGATATGCTAAGTGAACCAAAAGACCAGTTGGCACCTGGGAAGAGAGCTGTTTCCAAAATATACTCCACTGTGTCATGCTGTGACAGGCCCTCCCTAAGGAGGAATAATAACCAACGTTTATTGAGCACTTGCAATATGCCAGGCGCTGTAGGAAGTGCTTCGAGTGTATTCGTTTCTTGCATCCTCAAAACAGCCGTCCAACAGCCTAGTACATTGCTGCCGCAGGTCTTTGCTTTTGTGCTTTCTGCTGGGGATCCCCCTGGTTGCATCTTACTCCCATGGCCGCTGCATGGGAGAGGACTCCCTTGTCTACCTCTGGCCCCCCAAGTAATCCACCGTTCCCCATCATATGTTTTGTTCTCTCTGAAATGTCTTCCTCATTATTTTCACCTCTTCCATATAGTGTAAACTCTGCGAGAGCAAATGCTCTGTGTTGTCACAGCTGTGCCCCCCACGGCAGGAACTAGGCTGGCTGGTGGCAGCAGCTCCATAAATTTCTGTCCAATGAATGAAGGA